TTCCAACCCCATAAATTTAGATGGAACAGTTTAGTTGCTTCTTAATTTTGCTTTCGTAGGCCAGCCAAAGATTTTGGTGTCTGTTTTTGTTCCTTTGAAGCATAATAGTGATTTTCATCAAAAGTTATTAATGACATTGGCATTCATCGAGAGCTTACAAATGAGGTAAACGAGGGTTTTGAAAACTGGGTGATTTTCCCAGTTAGGACACAAAACATTCCTATCAGAGCTGTATTCAGATCTACATGTCTGCCATGGGCAGGCTTCCTAAACTCAAGGCTAGCAGTCTCCCTCTCATCGCCATGTACACCCAGCACCACCAGCCAGAGATGAGATGCTCATTCCTCAGAAGTTCCCTCCCCCTCTAGTCACCACACCTCTGGCCTCCAAGACGGGCTACCCTGAGAGGTGTCCAGTCGGCTCTCCTGGGTAGTGGATGTGAATATCCCGGCTTGGTTGGCTGAGGCCTGCCGTGCAGCTCAATCTGCCTGAACAGCAGCTTCTTCTGCTCCTCGCCTAGTTGCACACCTCAAAATGGAGGCTATTTTAGAACATCAGCCACAGAACTTCAATTACGAGACATGTTTGCCTCCTTTTGTTTCATAATTTTCCTTGCTGACGGGCATCATTCCAATATTATACCAAATACATTTTGGATACCACTAGCTGCCAATAATCAGTCCTTTTAGAAATCATCCCACCACCCTTCCCTCTTGAACTGAGTGTTAAGCCATCTCAAGGCACCTACATATTTGTCTCAAATACTATGACTCCAGTTGAGGTACTGGGGGTACTGGGGGCACCTCAACTTCAAGAACCACTTTTGAGTAAGGAGAGATCAGAAATGGATTTTCATTAAGATCTGCTGCCAATTTAATCTAGTAAATAGATTACCTCCACTACTGGTAATTACTGAGGCCTGCACCATAGGGTCTTAGAACACGGGAGGGCTTTATAATTGGGTTAAAGGTGAACCCATAGTTCTGGAAAATCATGCTTCAATGTCTGTGCTCTCTGCAGATCAAACTCAGGAAGCCAAGAAAGGAGGAGGCCCACGTCCTTCCCTAGCCTGGCTGAACAGATGCGACCAGACCCCAAAGGAGACCTTGCTAGGAAGCTTCCTGTTGCAGACAGGCAGCCAGGTGGCCCAGGGAAGGCGGCGTTCCTGCTCTGCTCTTTATTCTCGTGGTTTGTTTAATTGTCAAAGCTTCCCTGTGGTCGTCTGAGACCCAGGAGGGTCAGCGGGTCTTTCTGCTGGCCACTGTACCTAGTAGGGGACACAGAGAACATGTGCAATCATTGTCAGCAGTGACGGCAAAGGAATTGATGAATGTTTGAAGAAAAGAAGACCCTCATATTAGCAGAGAAATGGTGCTGGAGAGAACAGGCCCTGGGCCCTTCCAGACCTTGGCTGGGGTGCTCTTAAGTCCTGCTAAGGCTGTGTGCACAACTCAAAGAGTGGCGATTACTGTGAGGAGCACAGACCCACACTTTGCACAGGCTCACCGTCCTTTTCAGATGATGGCTGCAGCATTTTTTGCTATGAACATTAAGCTCAGACACAGTTATGGGTAAGGGCTAAGCCATCAAATGAATGGTTATAATTAACACACAGCCAGCTACAAGCCATCTGCAACCTCCCTGTAGATTTTCTCTTCACCGTTCTCTCTGCCTCTGCGGTGCTGCAAAATTCTACTGCAGTGTCACTCCTAGAAGTACCTGACTTTGGTGCCTCTGTACACAGCAGTTCTGATGTAACATGGAGAGTTTTCCCCCTCCTGTTTATTTCTCTGAAGCTGCAATAAGCAATCCGGTGTGACATCGCCTGTGGTGGTGTTGCCAGGCAGCAGAAAGAGAGAGAGTGGAAAGAGAGAGCTGCAGCAGGAGGTGGGAGGGCGGGGGGAGGAGGGGAGCAGGGCTGAGGAGGTGGGGGCTGGGCTCTGGAAACTGCTGAGCCAGAATTCCGTCTCCTTGTCATCCTTCAAGTCCCCAGCACATAATGAGCCAGCGAGCGGGAGCTTATGGGGGAAATAAAGGCAGGAAGAGATGATAGAATGTTGTCATTAAATAGGTGTCCATGATATTTCTAATTTTGTGAAGAGAGGGTTTGAGATAGGCTCTCTTTATCCTCCTGAACTTTGTTTCTTGGTAAGTGTAGCTACCGATGTATAAAAGGACAGATTTTCAGTGGGCTGGCTTTGCTCTAAAGCAACAACAGTTAACACATGAAATCTCCCAGCACCCTCAGCGCTGTGCCTGGGGATTGTTCGGGGTGACACAGTTATAGCTGGAAAGACTCTGCACCCTTAGCTGTTTGGCGTGGAAAACAAAACACAGGAACGGGACTCACTCTGGCCGTTTTAGGGAGGCTTCCTGGGGAGGTCATTCAAGGTGACTCCGGAAGCCAGCCTTCTCACTCAGAGGCCTTCTTTAGCATGGAATTTGGGAGCCACAGCTAAATTTCTGTCATCTCTAGGCTTGACAAGAATCTTGCTCTAATGAGATTAAAATGATTAGACTGACATCCTAGCAGAAGGGTGGGGGAATGGCACACAGGTCCCTCTGTGTTTGCCTGGATGTTCCCCAGTCCAACGTCTCTTGCCTTTTGCCAACCTTCCAAGCTGTCTGGGATTAGGCTGGACACCCTCCAGTGGTAACAGACAATGATTTTTATTTAGATATTTGATTATTCTTGTTAATCAAATAGAACAAGAACAGAAGGTTTGTTCAAAACAGAGTATTTACAGAGAGCTTTGTGGTAGACGCATTCTAAGGCTCTAAGTTAATAGTTCCTACTCTCAGAAGTTTGAAATCCACCGTACCGTCTGGAAGAGAGGAAATGGGGCAGAGTGTGTTAACTGGCAAGTTACAAAACTTGACTTTGTAATGACAGCTACATTCTTTTTTCCCTTTAGAAATGGGAGTTGTGGCGCAATTAGGGTAACCAACTCAGAAGTTGTGAGGGTGGCAGGTGGTGATGCTGCCCCTGCCCCCTGCTTTATATGTGCAGGGGCCTGCCTTCTCCATCCAGACTCAGCTCACAGAGGACTACATCAAGGACAGTTTGTAGTCTTCTGCATGCTAGGAGGAAGTCAGCATGAAATTCCTTAACATAAACCACAGAAAGAAGAAGAAGAAACATTCAGGCTGGGGAGATGCTTGGCCTGGGAGGAGCGTGTTGCACAATCATGATTGTGGGCCTGAATTCAGTCCTCAGAACCCACAACAAGCAGAAGAGCCAGGGTGGTGATGCACTCTGGTAATCCCAGTCAGGACTAGGCAGACAGAGATGGATAGATCCCTGGGGCTTGCTGGCCAGCCCGCCTAACTAAATTAGGGACCTCCAGGTAAAAATGAGAGACCCTTGCTCAACAAACAAGGTGGACAGGAAACAGCTGACCTCTAACCTCCACATACAAACATGTGAATACATGCCCCAACACACATAAAACACACAAAGAAGGAATACAGAGAAGGGATTAATCAGAGACACAAGTGTGCAAGAGAGCTGGGAAGCAGGCTGGAGTGAGGCAGGTCTCTGCTGCTTTTCCGAAGGCTGACACTTTCCCCTAAGGATCTGCAAAATATTTACAGACAGTTGACAGTTCTCCAGGAGGCACAGTGGGAGTATGGACACCAGAGCTCTGTAGAATGTCCTGTGATTGAAGTTTTCTCTCTCTGGCACAGCAGGACAGCTCTAATCAGGATAGCTGCTGGTTCGCCTGACCACACTGGTTAACTGCAGTCTCTGCAAAGCTTTCCTGGAAACTGGAGATGAAATATCATACTATTTTTTTTTCATGTGAAATTGCACTTTAATCAAAGCAAAGGCTTTAAAAAATACTCTCGAGTTAGCCTCATGGTTTTGCCACCATGGAAATTTCTTCATTTTGCACGCTCTAGACCCATCTCTTGGAATTCGGTTTTTATTTCACCATAGGTGACAGACTGCTACAAGACTTCCAAGTCTCAGCTAAGATCCCAGTGTCTGGATGCCACCTGAGCTAACAGAAAAAGCTGACCCTATGAACAGAACTTGTGAGAGGTGGGGGACACTTAGCCTGTGACCTTCTCAAGCTGGGATAGGAGAGGATGCTCAATCAGAGGGCATTTTGTGAGGGAACTGGCTGTTGAATGTGAATGCTTTACATACCCACAGTCCCTCATTTTTCCTCCATCTCTAACTATCTACAAGGGTTCTGTGAACCAAAGTTCCCAGAAAAACTGCATCTTGAAACATTCTACAAAGGCTGATCCGCTGATTAGAACTTCAGGGATTGTGGAGAGTTTGGAATGTTGTAGGTCCAGAGCCTGATTAACTTTTACCTTGAGCCACTTTAGCCCCCTAAATAGCCACTCTTTGCCCACTTTTGTTTCTGACTTAACATCCCATGAATAACAGATTAGAAACCTTTTGGGATATAGTAACTTAGCAGACCACCAGGTCCCACCATTCAAAAAGCTAACAATGTCATCAGATAGCATCTGAGACCTATAGTAAAAATCCTCCTGCTTTGCCATGACCTGCCTACTGAATGTACCCACCAATATATTTGAAATGTGGCCTGATGTATGACTTTTCTTTGTCCTGTTACTATAAAAACCCCATAAAATTGTTACCACATTGGAACATGGAATTTGGGGTAACCTGAATTTGTGTTCTGGTGCCATGATCTCTCATATTTGGCTCCAGACCAAGCCATCTCTTCTCCCCTTTGAGGTGACAGTTATGCTTTTGTGTCAACAGTTCCTTGGGATGCATGTCGTCACTATGGGAAGAGGAAGTGGGAAAAGCTTACCTGTGCCTTGTGACTTGGTCACCGTGTGAAGAACAACAGCATTTAGCCCTTTATGTCTCCTAGTGAAACAAAGCTATCATGCCAGCCACTAAGAAGGCAACCCAGGGACGGGACAAGGATCCACTACTGAGACGAAAACTCTGGGCCAGTTGAAGTTCGGACTAACCATTTATTCTTCCATTTAAGTCAGGAACAGATTCAACAGGCATGGTCATCCTGGTGCTGATGAGGGTGCCCCGGGGAAGGACTAGGGAAGACAGGATTGAACACACAGGCTCCTTACAAACACACCTGTGCAGAGCACTTATACAAATAATCCTGGTACAGCTTTCCTAGAGGGTCCGGACTATTGAAAAGGTGTTAAAGCAATTTCCAACAGGGTTGTATTTTTATTTTCAGTGGAAATAGGAAAGGACTCTTGATCCCAAACGGTCCCCATGCAGAAGCAAAATGTGATTTTCAAGGTAGATAAAGAAAAATAGAATCTGCATCTCCTTTTGGAAAAACAAAAAACAAAACAAAACAAAACAAAATACCCAGTCCCAGCTGCCAAGGAAGGCCCAGGAACAGAACACAGAACAGTAGATGCCTGTGAGGGAAGCACAGCCCGCTGCCTGGGGCGGCGTCTTTGGAATCAGGCGCAGGTTTCTCGTTTGCCAGGGCGATCTTCAAGGGGATAAGTGGACACAGAGCAAGTTCCTTTCCCGAGGTTGACAGAGACCCTCCAAGAGACGCACACACAGCCGCAGTAGATGAAGGCCATAGGCACTGCGGAAGGGAAGAGGAGCGAGTTTGAAAACCAATTAAAACAAAGCCCAGCTTTATGGATCCCTTGAATTATTCCGTCCAGCACTGGAAGAGCAGCTTTCCCTCGCGCCTCATTCCCAAATGTGTTGGTTGTGTCTCCAGAAACACATGTGCCAGATACACTCAAGCTGTCTAGACTTTGCACACAGGAGCTTCGAAGTCACTTAGAAGGTTTCAGGGGGAATTCTCATCCGCCAGGTGTAGAAACTACTGGAGAAGGTGGGTCCTGAAGGCAGGAAAGCACACTAGCTGCCGGGCCTGGAGCCGCTGTCAGAGAGCGAGAAAGGAGCCGCCGGAACAAGCTGGGTTATTGGGTTTTACTACACGTTTTCTATGTGCCAGGGTGGTTTCCCACACAGTATTTCAACTGGGTTTTAAAACAAGCCGTTGGTAGTGGAACTCGTTGCTCTGTCTTTAAAAACCATCCAGCAAGTCCAGCCTCCCCCTCCATGACACCCTCTCTTCCCCCCAGGTGAATGGCAAGCACCTTGCCCGGGTAGGAGACCTGAGTTTCTGAAAATGCATTGACTATAAACTCCCCACAAGACCCAGAGCAGGAACATCCAAACATCCGGTTAGAATGCACTTGTCTACGCAGGATTGTGAGGTAATATTGAACATTCATCAGGATTCAAGAGGAGCCCTCACAGTGCTGACATGGGATTTACTGAGCTATAATACAACACTGGCTTTAGGAACACATGATGTCATCTTCAGAATTATTTTTGTTGATTGAATAAGGAGAAAGGAGAGACAGAGAGAGAGAGAGAGAGAGAGAGAGAGAGAGAGAGAGAGAAACCCACTAGAGCCAGCTAGAAATCAGTCCAGATCACTGACATAGATCATGACTTAAAACATGCTATCTTGAAATAGCAAAATTAAAAGCAAAACCCACCAACTTTGAAAACAAAATCAAGTCTTCAGGCTTAAAGGGTATGTGTTATGAATTTCATGATTAGTATTTTTTTAAATATAAACCACAAAGAAAGATAATTAATGCAGTTTAATGTACATGAGCATGTGTACAGCTGAGGGCTGTGTAACAAGAAACACAGTGCCAGACAGAGAAACTTCCCTTAGGGTTGTTGGTCAGAGTAGTCCAAGAGATTCCCAAAATTATACAGGCTATTGCCACAGCCCTTGATTACTGTCCAGAACTTGAGAACTTACCCAATTGCTGAAGACAGGACTTAGTTTAGAAACAGGACTTGGAGCTGGAACTGACCTGGAATCCACCTACCTGAAGACTAGCTCTCTTATTTCTACAGGATACTATGCAAATGGCTAAGGGAGAAAATCAATCAATGATCCAACTCCAGCTGTAAAGCCTAATAACCACACAATGACTGGCACAGCAAACTGTATTGGTGCAGAGGTGGCACTTTTATCTTGGGGGTAATCAATATCTGTGTAAATTGGACTTAAAGCCCACTCTGTGGGAGGGAACTCATGAGTGGCACTGTAAACATAACCAAATACACATGGCTGGAGAGGTCATAATCCTAGAGAAAATCCTACCTCTGTCATATCCCTAGATAAATGTAATATCTTACTGTATGCTAAATATGGATCCTTATATTTACGGACAAGTATACATTCATCACTCATCAAAGAAGCTCCTTTTTTGCAACAGATGGAGACTATTACAGAGTTCCACAACTGGTCACACACAGAGAATAAGTGTCTGAGAGATGTCCAGCCCTAAGTGACACATCTACAGGGAAACCTCTCCATCTAAGGCTCATGGAACATCGTGGAACAGGGGGTACAGAGAATACTAATGCATCTCTCAATTCTCACCAGCAAACCTTCCTCATACAACAGCGGTGATGCACACAGAAGCCCACACTGGCCAAAGTATAGAGAATAAGAAACTGCAGAGTGTGTGTCCCTGGATAGGACTCAGGGCTCAGGGGCCGTTGCAAAAGACAGGCCAGAAAGATTCTAACAGCCACGGTTGGTACATGATCATAAGGAAACAGTCTTCCAGGCCTCTGGGAACCTGCTCGTATGAGCTTCCAGAAATGATGACAGCTGTACAGAACCCAGGCAGATCCAATCAGACAGAAACCCAGCATAGAACTGGGGAGCTGGGCATCGGTTCTCAATCTTCTCTGAGGAATTATTCGCAGCTGATTACTACTTTAAGGGAGTGACTCTAGATAGGCTGACTAGACTCCAGAGAATGAACTTGCAGAGAAAAATGAATGCACCCATGCTGCCTGCTTGCTTGGTGATGCACTGTTAGCTCTCCTCAATCTTACACAGTTCATGAAATTACACACTTTCAGTGTGGCTCTTCCCACCTCAATTAGCAATTGATATAATCCCCCACAGATACGCACAGGCCAACCTGATCTAGGTAATTCCTCAGGCAAGACACTCTCTCCGGGTAATTCTAATTTGTGGCGAGCTGACATTTAAGACTAATTGTCACAGTTGGGCTCCTCCGACAAAGCTCTCTGTCAGACTCTTCCAGTGAAACAAATGTAACCGAAAATAGGACTTGAGATGGAACAGGAAAAAGAGATGAATTCACCAATAATCCAGCCCCTTGCCCTAAAGCTTCCCATTAACCTGTGGGGTGGTGCAGAAGAGTCACAGAGTCCAAGTCAGCAGACAGAGAGGACTCATCACTGGCTGTCACACTAAGGAGCCCTGTGCCCTGGGCCACCATTTGTTCCTCTGCTTCATGGCTTCCTCAGCTGCAGAGGATCCTCAGTATATTAAAGCAGAGGTAGAAAGACCGTTGAGTCAAAATGACTTAGAGTCAGCCAAGAAAGGCAGGAATTGGAGGAAAACCCACAGCATGGAGAAAGGCCCCGTATCGTCAACCAAGCAGAAAGGCCGGTGCCCAAGCAAACCAGAGCAAGTAGAAAACAGAGGGAAATATTTCCAGTACTCGGACACGTATTTGTGAAGTAATAATAATCTCTAAAGAAACAGTTCTTTAAGGAAAACTGCCGTCTTTGAAGTATTCTACTTCGTCTCTGTTTACTAATACTGAGAACAGGATTTAGCAAGCCTGCATTTCAGAAATCTAGGTAAAAACAAAAATACAGAACAAAATGGTAAATAAAGTCCATACAACATGGTACCGCACACCTTTAATTCCAGCACTCAGGAGGTAGAGGCAGGCAGATCTCTGTGACTTCCAGGACAGCCTGGTCTAAGTTCTAGGTCAGTCAGGGCTACATAGTGAGACCCTATCTCAAAAGCAAAGCAATAAGAACTTTAAAAAGAGATGAGAAATAAGTTCAAACTTATATATTACAATTCATCAAAAGAGCAGGCCTGACTATACTTGCATTGAGAAATGGTTTCTAAATACATTATTACAATAGGGGCCAGAGAGATGGTTCGGTTGGTAAAGTGCTTGCTGCACAAGCAGGAGGACCTGAGTTCAATCCCCAGCACCCATTCAGGCAAAGTGTGGTATGGCGGTAATCCGTGGTGGGGCAGAAGGTCCCTGGGGCTCACTAGCCAACTTCTGTAGCCAAATGAGTGAGCTCCAGGCCAGTGGGAGACAGTGTTTCAAAATATGTTAGAAAGTTACTGGGAAACATACCCAGTGTTGACCTCTGACCTCCAAACCCACACATACACGTGCAGCCATGCACACATGCACATGCCCATAAGAAAATGAACATAGACATGCACACGAAGTACTATTACCCTGGAAACACAACTTCCAGAACAGAACATAAGCTCCTATGTCCTGAATACATAAGCATAAGCATTATCTCAAAAAGCAGGAAAACATAGAGACTTGTCCCCACTAGGGGAGTTATTAGGATCACATATTAGGGTGTGGGGCATTTGAAAGGATTTCCACATTTATTATATATATATTGTATCATAATAAGTATGTGCAATCAAAACAGAGGCATGCGTTACAATGTGTCATTTGAAGTAATTTTTGAGAAATAATGAATAAATGAAAGAGAAGAATATGGGTTTTAAAGAGTTCACAGCAGTGGGGTTCGTGCTGGCCTTGTAATTCTTAGCTCTGTATATTTGAATATTTGTATATTTTCTCATAGCTACTGCACAGTGTTTTCCTAAGGATCAAGCGCACTGTATGCAAAGCACCTGGAACACATTCAAAACAAATTGTGATCATTACAGAGAGAAGACGGATGATGCAATCTAGGCTTTCTTTTGTGGATCGATGAAATGCATTCTTATCGGGATCCTTTATTATCTGGCACAATCTGTTCCCCTCCTTCCCATCTCCCCAGTTTCTCTTGTGGCTGCACAGCCTGTTCTGATGGCTGTGTGTTGTGTGTGCCACAGGGGATAAGAACATTAAGACATTAAGGCGATTTGCTCCTAAGAAGCTGGGAGTCAAAGACAGGGAATGGAAGAAGTGATAAAAGATGTGCATATGTTTGATACCCCAGGGTGCTTCCTCCAGCAGATTCCAAGATCTGACTGAGCAGTTTCCCTCCTCTTCCTCTAGCCCTTCCTGCCTTTCCCCAACTCTCCTTGGAGATGAACTTGGCATAGAAAGGGAGAGGCTGTGCCTTAAGAAGGCGGGATATGTTGAGTCTCCGCCAAACTAGCAATAACGAACCATATAAAATACCTATTGATCTCTGAGGCGGATCTGAAGGGAAGAACAGCCTGAAGCCGGGGCTCCCTGCCTCCCACAAACGGTTGTCTTGTGGCTCAGAACTAACAGGCAATGAAAAATTATTGAAGTATTTGTAATTTCATTTTTGAGGTTTTAAAACCAACAAAGTGAAATTGGCTCAGACACCATCTAGGTACAAAAGGTGACAAGCCAGGTGTCTGTAATGCTGAGCCAACTCTGGAAGGTTCTTACTGTTTGAATTAGGGCCACAGGACATCTTTTTTATTTTTGTTGTTGTTGTTGTGATTCCTATGTATTCAGGGTCACTTGAACATGGAATTTAGGAAAACTGCATAGCTTTCTCAGGACAGATGACCTGGTGCCA